TGCTTTTTTGATCAGGCCTTCTGCCTCTGTCTTTGCATGTATTTGTGGATAAACCAAAGATCTTCTGAGTTCCCCAAAATACAAGTGTGTCACTATTTTGAGCGGTGCATTGTAACACGCTGTTAAAACTGTGTTAGCAACCTTTAAAATGAAACAACCCACTGTCTTAAAAGGTAGCATACCAGTCTTTTGTGTGGCTAAAAGTAATTATTTTGAAAGAAATTATTCCATAGGACAAATAGTCATTACATATGAATTGATTATCCTGCCCCCCCCAACTTCAAACATGGAAAAGAACAAAAAATGTTTGTTGCATAATGTAGGGTCGTGAAGATGATGAAGAGACTGGAGCATCTCTCATACAAAGTGAACTGAGAGAGCCGTGACTGTTTAACTTGCAGAAAAGAAGGCTCAGGGGAATCTGAACAACGTATATTAATACCTGAAGGGGGGTGCAAAGAAGATGGAGCTGGGTGCTTTTCAGTGATGCCTAGTGGCAGGCCAAGGGGCAATGGGTTCAAACTGAAGCACAGGAGGTTGTCCCTGAACATCAGGAAACACTTTTTTACTGTAAGGGTGACTGAGCACTGGAACAGATTGCCTGGAGAGGTTGTCGAGTCTCCATCTTTGGAGATATTAAAAAGCTGTCTAGACACCATCCTGGGCAACTGGCGTTAGATGGCCCTGCTTGAGCAAGGGGGTTGGACCAGATGACCTCCAGAGGACCCTTCCAACCCCTATCAACCTGAGATTGTGAGTTTCTCCTGTATTTGCTGTATTTTAGATGTCCTTGGAGAACAAAGACAGAAAATTCTGGTAGAAGACACAACTTTTCTTCCAGTTGCTGCTACTCAGGACTGTTCCAATTGAGTGCAAACACACTGCTTTCCCATGGAACAGCAGCCTGGCACCAGGCATCTTGCTTCATATTACAGGTTAGGGGTGAAGTTCCTGCTAGTTGGTTTGCATCTGGTTCCTTACCCACACAGAATTTTCCTCTGATGAAATTTTTCTCTAACAGGGAAACATAGGAAAGTGAAAGTACAAAAGAGGCAAATCAAAAGTATGATTTCTACAAACAGCATTTGTTTTTTCTGGCAACAAAGAATGAGAAATGTTGAGGCAAAGCTGAAAAATATGAAATGGCTGAAAGGAGATGGCTTCCTCTGCAAATGTCAAGTAAACATATTTCTGTGGGATGCTTTGGAGAGGGAACTTCTGCAGAGTAATTTTAAGGTTGTGGCATTTGGGGATGGGAAGGTGAGGCTTTTTAATGTCTTGTTTGGGGTTTGTTTTTTTATATGCATGATTGTGTTAGTGTAATATGCTTCCTACTGGATTTGGACTAGTCAAAATGCCTGTAAAAAGAATTTTAAAAAAAAAGAAAAAAAAAAGAAAAAAATTGTTTCTAGATGTAAGCTCAATCAAGTGGTCTCAGGGTAGTATCTTGTTCAACATTCCTTTCCATTTGTGCAGATAAAAATTGAGTTGGAGTTGGACTGTAGGAAGCATTCATTGGGTCCCACACTGGGGCAACCTGTTCTGTTTGTCTTCTGTGTTGTTACTAAAACTGAACAGCAACCCCCCTCCAGTTGCAGATCCTGTAACTGTTGTGCTGTTGTGGTGTCAACCTACATGTTCACAATCTGGTTGCGAAATAAGTGCAGCAAAATATAATTTCTGCCTCCATGTGGAAAGGTGTGCAATGTCATGCACTTTCCTGAAAGCTACTTTTGTCATCCAGAGGCAAAATATCAACCTAAGTGGCTCATTTGACTGATTGTATTTCAGTGCTTTCTGTGAGAATAGAAAAAGCAGTGACAGTTCTGCTAAGATTGTCAGATAAAGCCAAAAGGGCAAATTTAAGTTAAACGAGTTGATTGAGCTCTCTGTTTACTTTGGAAACAGAATCTGAGCTTTAAAAGTCTGAATTAAAATCCCTCTTTGATTCAAGTTTTTTGGGCCTCTTAAATAACTCCTGAACTCAAGTGCCTTCGCAGGTGTCCCAGGTGCCTGCACTTTCCCTCTGATCCTCTATTGATGGGCAGCATTTAGGTTATGCTGAACTAGAGCAGGTGATGACCCAGGTGACAGGCTGACCCTAGAGGTAGTGGCAGCTCTGGGATGAGCCCCTATGACACTGTGAACCAGCAGCAGTTGTCACCTTATGGTCCCTTCCCCATCCTTGCTTTGTTTTCAGAGCTTGATTTGACCAGAGTTTGCCTTACCCTTAAAGGGGTGATTCACTGCTGGCATCCCCATATGTCTATAGTTATTCTCTCAGCTGACTTTTTAAGCAGCAGATGGTTTACATAGTTGCCTTATCCATGTACCAGATTTTTTACTACCTTAATGTTGCACATTATCTGTAGAAATCTGGTAACTGAGGATGATCATCTCTAGTGATAATTGAAATTGAACTTCTGTGACTCTTGCTGCAACCATGGTACGTATCTAACTTCCAGATTATTTTTGCCTTATGCTGTTTTCTGTCCCTGTTCTATTTCATCAGAAGCTCAGGGCTTTAAAACCAGATTTTTCTGTCTTCTATTTTCTGTGACTCCAACAGGAGCAAGATCAACATAAAGAAGAAAAGTTATTTTGCTTGCAAAACCAAAAGAAATCCCTCTATAGAATTCAACTAATAGGCTTCATAGCACTGAAAACTTTGACATCTTATTGGCCACTCCATTTCCTGTACTTTAATTGTGTCGCGCATCAAGCTCTCTCTTTTCAGTTATTACATGGTGGGGAACATCACCTACACCTCATGTCCCCTTCATAATAAAATATGAAGAATGGCCCATGTTTGCATTTAACTGTACTACAAATCTGTTGCAATACAGGATGGAAGTGGATTTGACTTGAAATGGTGAAAGAAGAGTGTGCTATATTAGACTGTGACCACTGCAATTTGCTGTTTGTGCCATACAATGTGAAACTCATCCAAAGCATTGACGATCTTTTAAAAGAGCTCAGATCAGATTGTCCTTCTTGCCCCTACCATTCCAAATACCTCTGTTTAAAAATTACTGTTATCTTTCAGCAATGGAAGCTACTAGACAGATATTAATTCAAAATATGACTTCCATCTCCTGGGACATTTTAAAGTAGTGTACTTAGTCAGGTACTGGGATTAAATGTAGAAATAAGATTATTTTTCACAACATTTAGTTTTGGTCTCACGAAATTAGATGTTATTGTGACTAGTTCCAAAATGATTTTAAATAATTCTATATTTTAAAAGAAAATGTTTTGATAAGTTTCATTACAAAGGTTCTGAGGCTGGATACTTTTCTTGAAAATGTTTTAAACTCTGTGACAGTATTTTCTCATGTTCCTTTGGAAAAAGCTTATTGGCTGGCATTTCTTTTTTTTTTCTTTAACACAAGTTTGGCTGATAGAGTTGTATGTGGCTTGCTAGTGTGTTAGATTCATGTCTGTAGGTGTTTGTTTACAAATTTATTAGGTGCTGTATCTATGTATGGTTCTACTCATTGTTACAGGGTAAACTGTTTAAACAGCCAAATATTAAATCTTTTAATGTAAAAGCAAATTTGCTACAAAAGAGACATTAACTATAGAGTTATAATTTCCTTTCAAATTGCAATATTTTAGGTGATTTTAATGACTTTCCGTTTAGTGTGTCTCTTTGGTACTGTGCATCATATTTAAAAACACCGTAAAATACTATTGAGTATTCTGAGCATTAAAGCAGAGCTTTTGCATTTTTAGTGAGGTTGAATTTGACTTTAAAGCAATAAGATTGAAGCCATCTGAAATTCAAACTAGGTTAAGCAGGTAAGTGGGAGTCAATGTGACAATAGGCTGGAGCTGGTGGGGGTTAAGTAGATGCCAAAGCCCTTCTATCTCTCAGAGTTTCAACAAGTTGATGAATTTCTGTAAGGGTGCTTTGCAGTGTGAGGAGAGGATGGAAGCTGGCAGAGATGAATCTCTGAATGTTATTCCTAGAATTTTGTTTGTCCCTGTTCATTGTCTCTTGAAACAGAAACTGGTGTCTCCCAGTTTTCACCCACTCCCCCAGGGCAGACCCAAAAACCAGTATCCAATAGAGGCTTGTGTCCCTTTCTTGCAAATTTTGAGCCACTAAGACAGCGTATGCTAGCAGTCATTAAGGACACTGTCCTATAAATACAGGATAACAGGGTGTTTTAACCTCTATATTACACAAAGGAGTTTTTATATTAGTAAAAAAAATAGAAATAAAAATCTCTTGTTGCACTGATTGTGCAATAGTCTGTAATAAAGAGAATTTTTTATTTGTTTGTTCTTACTCTGAACCTCTGGGGAAAGGGGTGTTGACCAATGATTGAGAGCATTTAATCAGTGAAATATATCTGAGGAAGGGTTCTTCTTGGACTCTGATCTGGTTGTTACAGTTTTATTTGTCATTTTTCTACTTAGCATTTGGATTTTAGAGGACTAAAATTGGGGTCAACTAGAGAGCTGTTACTAATGATTGTTTAGTTTTACTTTTATTAAAGAAAACAGCAAGCCACAAACCAAAAATATCTCAGCTGTAGAAGTGTATTCTGAAAGAGATAAAGTTTTCTTGATTTTTAGCCTTGAGCAATACTATTTGTGCACGTAATTAAAGATGGCTACGTTTCCAAACACAATCAGTATTTTATCCTGGCAATTAATTTTACACTTTCAATGCAAAGTCACAAGAAACGATGTAATTTTATGAACACTATTTCACCTAGCTTATTTATTCATTCCGTAAATGCCTATGGAAAAGTCTACTTGAAAAAGTAAAGTTTTGAAGCTCTGGCCAGGTATAAATTGTGACCAAAAGGTCTTTGGTTCTGGGGTCTTTGAATTCAAATAACTGTTATTCATCATATCTCAATCGAAGTAGTTCTGGGAGCTATCTTAATTCTATGGGGTTTGTTGGGGTTTTTTTTCTGTTTTGTTGTTTAGTGGTTGTTTTAGGGGTTTTTTTGATTGTTTGGTGGTGGTTGTTTTTATTTCTACAGGCTACCATGTCTAAGACACATTAACTGTCTTGTTTCTCTGCTCCTGGCATAGAAGTTGTCAGCTGTGCTGTTCACATGAAGGAAATACTGGAATCTCATTTATGTAGTAAGTGGTCCATTTGATTTCCACTCGTGAAACTGAAGGCTTGTTCATAAGCTGATGTCATTCCATGATTTTTTAACATGAATTTTGAAAAACTGACTTAAACAGTAGGAATTTTAATATGCTTTATAGGAAATGTAAACAAACTGGACATGTAATATCAATTAAAATATTCAAGATAATTCTGGTTTCAAGTCCTTGCAGAGGTCTGGATTTTTTAATATTTAATGAATTCAGAAAAATTGGGAGTTTAAAAGGTAATTCATTTTTACTTATTAAAATGAAAAAAATCTTTAAAATGAGAGGTCTTTTTATGTATGTAACAAATGTGGACAACTTGTTTTTGGCCTGTGTTAGCAGTATGATTTTGGGATTTTGAAACTGCAAGTTCACTTGTAACATTTTAGAGTTGTTTCGTTACATTTGGGGAAACTTGTAGTGCATAAAGCACTACAGAAGATTATTTTTTTATTCTTAGGTGAAACTGGCTGTAGCTGTTTTCCAGGCAGGGTTTTGTGGGAGCCCTTCTCTGTAAAATATATCATAGCCTTCTTTCCATCCATCATAATGCTCTTTTATAGTTGTTTCTCAGCATGGAAATACTTTCAGGCAGTGCTACCTTGATGAAAAGAAATTTTAATATATGGGGAATTTATTTGTAAATTGTTCTTAGCCCAAACCTTGAATTTTTGCTATGGTTGCTTCAAAATGTTTAAGGTCTGTCTCCTATTTCCATGCTTACTGCTTGAATGGGTTCTAAATTCCTGATTCTTCCAGGTCATCAGTCCTTATTTCCAGAAAGTGGCAAATGCTACAAGTGTAACAGGCAGAGGTTATACTCATCCCCTGTGTTATTTTAAATTTTATATGTTTTCAATAAAATGTATTAAGCTTTTGTCCAAGCATAGACCACTGTTTGTGTGTAGTAGTATGTGTTGCTTTAATGCGACTCTTATTGCTTTATTCTGTGGGCAACATTTTTCTATTCTTCCTTCCTTGTCTCTCAGCCTCAGTTTTGGCAAGCAAAACGTAGTCTAAGGTGAGTAGCATGTTCTCTCTTTGGCCACCTGCCTTACACCTCTGAACTGTGGGAAGGGAAGAATTGAAGTGCGTTTTGTATAAAGCTGCTAGAGCTAAAACCACGGTAAATCGACATATAAAATGAACTGCATAATGAACGTTTTTTTCACCACCGCTTCTCTAATGAGTGCTATGTTTTCAATGTCTATATAAATAAGTTTATCCTGGTGCCATTGGCCTAATTAATCACACAAGATGGCTCACAGTGATGTAAAGGGTCATTGCTAGCAGCAAAAGCAGTCTGCACCAATTAGGAATTTGCTTAATTGAATTATTGTAGAGAGAGTTTGAAGAGTGTACTGGATGAAGAAGGTTGTGTGTTTGGTTTGCCAAGTCACTAGCTTGTGCTGAGATGTATCAACAGATCATGCTTGTGGTGAGGGATGTTGAAGTATTTAATTTAAAGTGGAAAAGAAAAACAAAATGTTTTTAATAGAATTAAATGATAGCATTGTGTTAGCTTCCTGTGATGAGCTAATAAAAAGAAATCAGTTATTCACATGTGTCGCCGGAGTTCCTTATATAGGAAAAATCTCACCCCACACTGCTTTCCTCCTTGCCCCTTTACCTAGAGAATACGTCTCTTTTTCCTATAGATTATGACTAAATTTTGCAAAATGACAACTGAATTAGAATCTAGTAATGCAAGATATTACTTTTCATTATTGGTTTTTTTTTTGTAATTTTATATCCGGAAGGATGTCTCTGCATGGGGTACCTACAGTAAGCTGTAGAGGGTGACTGAAAATAAAGTGGAACGTTATTTAGATAGCCAGGCACTAAGTAGCAATATTTCTAGTACCTCCAAACCCCAAAACACGCTGCAGTCCATTTCTTGAATCAGAAAACCTTTATACCTCCCCACTCAAATTCCTTTCTGTTTTTCTTTCTTCTGTTAATGTTTCCAGAGGAAGGCCTAATATCTCTTGTTTACTTCGTGAAACTGTAAGGGCAATCTCCTTGTTGTGTCTTCTGTATTTCTCCAAACTCCTTTCCCAATCCATAAAGCAATCCAGCCTAGAATTGCCTCAGGGGATCCTGCCACAGCCAGTCACATTCCGTTTCAAGAGAAGGTGGTTGAGCTTCCCCTCCTGGGGAGGAGGAGAAGACCTGGGATGTATTCCTATGTAAAGATTTATGAGGAATTAGTTTGTTAGTGCTCATAACTAAGATTTACTTTTAAAAAATATAAGTCTATAAATATAAATATAACAAAAGTTGCAGACAAAAGTTTAAAGCAAGAAAGGCAACTGCTCTTCATTCAACTAACAAACAGCTTGCCCTAAGCAGGGGAGGAAATTTTGTAGCCTGTCCTTTTGACCTCATTAGAAAACTAATTTTTGGGAGCTTCCTGAAGGGAATTTATTGTATATGTTGAGTATGCAAAGAAGTTTGGTAGCTTAGTAGGAATGAGGCTGCTTTATTTGTCCAATAAGGATTAACTTCTGATTCAGCCGCAGCCGTCTCTGTTAGTGCTCCCTGCTGTAAGGAGGTCTCTGTTTCTGCAGACCAAGAAGATAGAAAAAATATGCCATTGCCTATAGCATGTTACTTGCTTGTGATTTTTGCCTGCAGGCCAGTGGAGTGCTCAGTCAGGGAGCTGGTGGTATCTAAAAAAAGGCAGAAGTAGAAGCTAAGGGAATAGAGTATTAATTTCTCATGTGCATGAAATCCTCCCACTGTATGATATTTGGGACACAGGACATGGTCTTGCCGAGCTAGACTGTTCCCTCAGCAAAGAACAAGGTACAGGGAAGATAAGTCTTTTACATGCAAAAAGATGTGAACTTCTCTTTAGGCTAACACAATTTTATTTGCTAAATTGTCACGTTTTGTCTGAAGGAAGGCATAGCCCTGAGATGGAGTGACTAGAGACTTTGTATATGTTTAATTAGCCCTCTAAGCATAAAAAATATTAAGCACACCTGAATACTGATAACTGCAAATAAATAATTTGATCAATGAAAACGTCTAAAGGAGACTTGTTTCCTGCAGGATAAACAGCTTCATCAAAATTCTCATATATTTATACTGCCCACTAGGAGATACTGATACTCCAACTTACCTTTTTGTGGGGTTTTTTCGGTAATAATTTTCTGTCTGTTTGGGTGGCGATTTTTCTCTACTCTTGTGTTTTTAGAATTATTTTAGAATTTGAGCCTTAATTAAACCTTAGAATTTTTGTGCCTTAAAAAAGCTGGGGGACAAAACTTGCCCCTGTATTTTAAGATCAGGCTCAGTGGGTAGCCTTAAGTCTCCCAGTATGCATACTGCAGGACTCACTTCTGGTACGAATCCTTGGAAATGAAGTGCATGGCAGTAAATGGTTTGAAGGCAATAAAAGGCTTATCCTATACTTGAGTAGGAAGGATAATTACAGCCATTTTAAGAACTGCCTGAATGTTTCAGAGTGGTGACTCATCCCTAGGTTTTCTCCGCACAGCCAGTATATCTTTCTATCACAGCTATCTTGCAACCAGAACATTATAATTCTGCTTATGTTTGTGCATGTCTATCCCCTGTATGGCTTAGCCTGCCTTAACAGTGTGTAAATACTGCTGAGTAAATAACAAATGAAAGGTGAGCCTGGAAAGACACTGTTCTATTAGTCATTAAAAAGCCCAGACGTCTGGGGTAGAATTTTCATGAATCTCTTTTCCAAGAGACTTTCAGCGAAGGGTGAATGTCAGTCACCCAGCATGCTGATTTGATATTAGTTTGGATGCATTTCAGATACTTGTCTGTAAATTAGACTGGAAATGTTGAATTTGGAAGGAAGGGGAAATGGATTATTTCAGGATGTTTGAGTACCTCTAGTTATATTCTGTTTTAATGCTAATGAAAATCAGTCTTTTCTTGTGGCAATATGATGACTCCCCTTCCCCCCAATATACTGGAGGTGGCAAGAAAAGGGAATCCACTGAATATTTTCATACTTCTGAAATAGATTTTGTTGCTTTTTAAAAAAAGATTTTGTTGCCAGAAGAATGGTGTGAGCATGTATATGTGTCTATTTCCCTCCACCTAAGTACTTGCTTTGTTATTGATTCTGGCTCACCATGAATTGGCTTTGCAACCATGTGCATCTATAGCTGGTCACAGCTTCCCAGCACCTCCTTAAACTGCTTGCCTGATGTTTCTCTGGCATGTTTTTTTTAGGCAGCATTCTCCAAGCAGGACACCTCTGTTGCTGCATTTTTACAGCCATTTCTTTAATCAAAAAGATGGACCAGCCCCTTCATTTTCCTGGACAAAACTCTAGCTACAGATGTTCCTAGATTTTGTCAGTGTTGAAACATAGATTTGATTATTATTATTATTATTTGATGCAAACATTGCAGCTTTGTTTAGTATCCAGTTACAAACTCAGGAGCTGATTAACGGTAGTAGAAATCCCTTGACATAGCTGCAGTGTTATCTAAGATTAGTTGAATCTGTTTATATTTTCTTATTGTGGATTTTTCTTCCTGGTTTTGGAGCAAAATTGAAACTCCATAGCAAAGTGGTCTGGGAAGAGTAGCTTGCTGCTCCCACTGAAATAATTTGATAAATAGGGTGATAGAGGGCTTCAGGGAAGTGCTCTGTCACTTTCAAGAGGAATAAAGTGTGTTTAATTAAAGTAATCTCTGTTTAGATTAAAATAAATCATTTCAATGCCAAGGGTGGTTTTTTTAATGACTATGGGATGCCATTCAAAGGAGAGGCAGGAAGATGATATAGTACTTAGAAGTCTATTTCCTAGACTCTTATGATCGATCACTGAGAAGATGTGCTCTGCCAGGAAAATGATGTTTATTAAACAGTATTCCACAGCACACCAGTAATTAATAGGACATGTGGCACTGGGGGAAAGAGCAACAATTCTGGACCAGAAAAGTTCAAAGAGACAGAAGCTTTCCAATGCATCAGAGGACTGACTTTAA